CTTTAATGGAGGCAAATACTAATTTACATTCTAGTATTCCAAACATATACATAATTGCTGAAAATCTCTGTTTAATTGTAGTCTCAGTATTTGAAACATACTCCAATGTATAAAATATGCTTGCTATATACAAAAAGATCTGGCTATACTTTTGTAAACTAAACCATCTCTCTGGATCAAAACAATTAATAGAAATAGGAAGAACAGATATGTTTTATATATCGATTCTGAGTTTTATACCAGACTCCCACTATATACTTAAACTTTCTATTTTGGGAATTTTAAAACATAAAAGATTAGAGAGAATGTATCATAAGCCTCCATACAGCCATTATCCAACCTCAACTACTAACATTTCACTGTTTAATTTACTCCTACCATTACTTTCATCATCATTATTATTATCTTGCTGAAGTATTATTAAAACAAATTCCAGACATCATATTGTTTCTCTTATAAATTCTGCATAATCTATCACTACCAATAAGGATTTTCTTTTAATAAAACTACAATTCCATTATCACATCTAAAATAAATAATTCCTAATATCATTTAAAACCCAGTCCATACTCGTATATCTACAATTCTCTCAAAAATTTATTTTTTGTGTGATACTGATACTGAAAAAAGAACCAAATTTATTCATCACCATTGGAGATTTTTTTTGTGTGTGAGGAAGATCAGCCCTGAGCTAACATCTGCCAATCCTCCTCTTTTTGCTGAGGAAGACTGGCCCTGGGCTAACATCCATGCCCATCTTCCTCTACTTTATATGGGACGCTGCCACAGCATGACTTGACGAGCGGTGTGTCGGTGTGCACCCAGAATTCGAACTGAAGAACCCCGGGCCGCTGCAGCGGAGCGCATGCACTTAACCACTTGCGCCACTGGGCCGGCCCCCATCCATTGGAGATTTTTAAGCCACCAATTCATTACATAAATTAACATACTAATCAAGCATACATGTTGGATTTCCTGTGAGAACTGGATTTATGGTAGTCAACGATTAATGGGGTAAAATTCTTCACCACACATTTTTTAAAACCACTTTGTTAAAAAAGAATAATTTCTTTTGTCTATCATTTTTATATCCATCCACTGCAAAATTTAATAGCATGCTCTGATTGTTTTAGCAAAAAAAACCTATCATTTTACACATTTGTGAAAATAATTTTCAAATATTAATATATATTTTTTTCTGCTTGTATATATCCCTTTACCTATCCCAATTTTTTCAAACAGATATTGGATTTAGATTCATTGAATAGATGAGGATGAGACAGAGTGGAGAAAAGTAAAAAAGCATTCAGTTATTTTGCAAAGTTCTAAACCTACCATGGAGATTATTTTTTCAGTTGCTACTGAGGCCAAAAATAAAAGAGGAATTGTATCTTTGAGGGAAACTATCAAGAAAAACAGTGGGGATCCCCAATCCTAGACCTTAAAAACATTTACTCAGTCCGGCTGGGAAGAAGAGGGATGAAAGGGATAGGAAGAAAGGGGAGAGATTCCACATCGTGCTGGTTGGACGGAACTCAGAGAAACCTAGAGGCTTAGATTTAGAGAGTCCTAAAGCTGAATTTCATGGCAGAGTCAAGGAGGCAGGAAGACGCTAGAAAGTGATGCACTCTGCTGTGCATCTAGGCACACGTACGCAGGGACAGCCTTGCACAAACTCCTTTGCCCTCCCATGGCAGGGAGCAACAGCAATTTTCCTGAAGGAGCCAGGAGGACTGGAACGAAGGCAGTGTCATTTGAGACCTACGTGGACCTAACGAGACAGGGGGCATGTCAGTGGACATGGAAATAGGCAGATGACCCAGGGACCAGAATATCTCAGTTCTCTGTGGCTTGATATAGACTCCCTGGAATTGAAGGAAAAAAGAAGTGAAGTTGCTGCCACCCTGGTGAAACGGGGATTAGAAATTTAAAAATAAATGAAAGAAAAAATGAAAGCACATCTAAATTATTGGCATGAGTCATACCTGATACAGTAGATAAAGACTATTCCAGATTTTGCATATCATTTACAAAAACCATCAATTATACCTTAATTTTCAAACTTTACTTTTGACATTGCATGTAAAAATCTTCATCTTTTCCTTATTTTTTTTCAAAAATCAAGAGTTTGATATAATACAAAATTGATGATGTCAACACCCAAAAATATAAAATTGGAAATGAGGAAGAATATTTTACATCAACGCCACTGTGTGTGTGTGTTTAGAAGCAACACCTATACTAAAGCCTAAAGTTTTCAAAAACTCCCCACAAGACATCATTTGTATTAATTTCTTTGAAAAAATGAACGATGAAAAAAGGTACTATGAAATTAGTCCTAAATTTTTAATGATTTTTGTATTGAGAAGCATTATATTTGAAAAATATAGGAATCCACGCAGATGCAATGCTTAATAACTCCATAGGTAATACTGATATTCATGATTTATACAGATACAGCATGGTTGCTATAAAATCACGGCTCTTTAAGAATTATCAGACCATAGACAGAAAACTCTACTGAAGACAAAGGAAACAGTTTAGATCTAAATAGCAAGATTATTACTATTGAAGATTATTGCTTCAATTATACTATACCTCACTTCACAAATTCCTCAAAGTTAATTACAAAAATGTGACTGCAGAATTTTAAGATAATATATCATAATACTATTCTACTATGAATTACCGTTTAGTTATGAATCTCTCAATATCTCTAGGCTATTCTAATTAATTCTGCTCTAGACATTACAAAGGAGGTTAAAATTTTCAGTCCCATTAAATGTCAAAAGAACTGTTAGCCTCCAGGGGCCCTCAGGGCTCCTCCTTTCCCTACCTGCCTCCTCTCCTTCTTTCCCAATGATGAATAAGGATGCTGTCTCCACCAAGGAGCACTATTCGATTTAACGCATTTTATTGACCATGATTCTCCTGAGTAAAGTCACCGTGTTGAGTTGAATGTTGGAGTGCACAAGGGTATGTCATCCCTTGGGTCTCTGTTCCCATGTGACTAGATTGGTAAAAACTCCGGGGACTTCTTGAAGCAGGCTTAAAAGGGTTTTTTTTTTGGCTTCAGCATCTCTTCTATCTTCTCCCATTTGGTGGCCTGCCCAGCGCTATTACCCAGGTCTAAGAAGTCATTGGGTGAGTGTTGCACATATTGGATAAAGGTCTGGCCTAGGGCAGCTTAGGTTAACTGTACTTCTGTATACCTTTTTTTTTTTTTGCCTTTATTTCTATAAAAATAACTTGGATAAACTATGTAGGTAAGTCCTAAAACCATTGGCACCAGAATGTTTAAAATGGAGTCTTTCTGTCTTGGTTTTCGCTGAGACCCACAGACAAGAGATGCCAACCACTACCACACGCCGAGGAGGTGGTCAGGAACCAGTTTTGAGACTCTTAATTTAACACCAATAACAGATGGTTTAAATTGCAGAGGGGCAAATTGGAGACCAGCAAATCGGTTTAGAAAGAGCTGTCCTACCTATGTGACCTCTTCACACAAGTCCAGCAAAGGTTGATTCAGTGGAACCACTTAAATTCAATGGTGCTAAGACTAATCAAAACCAAGGAATCTAAGGAGAATCATTGGCCAGCTCTCCCAAATGCTGTGTGATGAGAAATTTGCCTCTTTGGCTAAGGCCTGCTCTTCTGGATACTTGAAGTCAAAAGATGCACTTATGTTTTCCTTATGAGGCCAAGATATAGGACAGGAAATATCAAGAACCCTAGTCGGTATGGAATTTACTTAGATCTTTCTAAAAGATTGGGTGGAATAGGGAGAAACCACAGCAGAAAGAAGATGCAAATGTAACTCCAATGCCAACGAGAAGGGAACCATGTATCAGAGACACATGCAGAGATGGGGGCACAGCTTGGGGTGGGGGAGGATACGTACAAAATTTCCCCCACCCACCCACCCACCCAGGAAACAGTTAGTTTAAAATCCTAGATGTCAGAGAACACCAATGCTGGATTACCACAACAGGACTAGTTAAGAAATCCCTTTCGTGCTTTTTACCTCCTCTTGATATTTCTACTCCAGCCATGAAATTGCCAGAGGCACCTTAATGTCTAAAGCAGTAGGAGAGGAAGTAACTGGAAAATTGGGAAAAAGTCACCTTATCCTCATTTCACACTGTCGGCAACCAGTTTGAAGCAAGTTCAAGATGAGTTAGAAAAAACTTTTAAATCAAATAGAAGTCATGTTCATTATTCTGGACTGGACATAACAATTATTGAACTGAACTCTTCATTTTTTAATAAAAGTGAACTAGTCAGTAATTTTTTTTTTAATAATAGCATGACCAAAAAATGTATAGCACTTGACCAAAATTTCCTCCAAAGGCCGAGGAAGAAGCAGACTCACAGGACTCACTTTGAATGGGTAATGATTTCTGAGGTGGGATGTGGGTCTGTGGAGAAAAAAGTTTTTGCCAATTACATCCCACTCATTCCACTTGTCAAAGTATTGATTAAAACCAAATCATCCAAAACTGAAATAGACAAAAAGTGTAAAATCCAAAAATCATTATCACCCCTCTTCATGCTTGTTTTAATCACTGTTTTATCTTTTTGATTAAGTCTTCATTGGAAAATAGCATTTCACGGGACAATTATATATATATTTTTTTTCTTATTGTTCATTGACTATGTCCTCCTTAACTGTATTTTATCAATTCTAAAAAAATGTTACAATGTCTTCACATTTTAACATCTTTGACAGGATGTCTTGCAACAAATGGCTTTTTGCAATTATATTTGTAGCATTTTTTTCTTTTTTAATGGTTCATAAAATAAAGATGCATCACACAATTTAACAACCAATACATCAAGCACATTAGACTTGATATATTTCAAAGAATATAACAACAATAAAGCCAGCAAAAACCAACCAAATGTCTATTTACTTGTTCCCCAAAATTACTGTTAAAACTCAAGAGCACAACAGAAAACCAGAAGAACTGCAAGAGGTGGAAGTTTTTAAGGGGACTCACCAGAGTTGGGGTCAGAGTTGCCATCTGCTTCCGTCCTCTTGTCCGGAGAGGCCTGGTCGTAGAATTCGTCCTGTGGCTGAACCAGAGGAAGAGGGTGTGAGATCAGGGTTCCACTACCCACCGGCTCGTGGTCTCCTAGACCACTGTCACTGCAGCTTTCCTGGGAGCCATCAGGCAGGTGAAACGTAACGCGGCGCTGCGACTACAAAGAAGACCACAGGACACGCGGATTAACATTCCTCCCCAATAAAACAGGCGCAGCGGAACAAAAATGCTAAGCAATTTTCAACAAACGATACAATGTGACAGTAAAGAAAAGAAAAGAACAAAGCTAGGAACAAACATTTATTATTTGCCATTTAGTATGTAATGTCCAACTTGCAAAATACGAGAAAGAATTTCAATCTTGTATAATTCAAGAACAAAAAACTAATGGTAAACAGTTAAAAATTGTAGCAAGAAAGGCAAAAAAGAATATCTATAGTAGTTGTTGAAGTTATACAAAAAGATTTTAAATAAGCAGAAATGTGCAAATGTTTGTTCCATAGATCTGAATAAATACATAGATAATGAGACACTCCATTTCTTTTGAATGACCAGACATTGTGTTTACTGGATGGTTTTAAGGTAGGTTTTGCAATGAAATCATTATTGCCCACCGGCCCAGATATTACTATCAGCCATTGGCTATAGAATATCCCAGTTGAAAGGTGCCTGGAATATTACTTTGGCATCTATTTGCAGAATGTCATTATCAGAAGTGACCTAAAATATGTATACAGTACTTGAATAAATTTTAGTGTTTTAATAAAATAAAATTGTACATTTCGACACAGATCACTGCTTAATTCTCTTGGTAAATATTCTCTTAGCTGATGTAATCCATGAGATATGACAATATTTACAGCTATGTGGGGTGGAGATTTATGCCTTATGAATTATAGGAGAGTAGTAAATTTGTGCTATATGTCTGACTGCACCTAATTTTCATTCTGCTTTAACAGACAAAAGACCTTTCAATATCATGTCACACGTGACCACCTTTACTCAGATGTAATAAAACTATGCATATATAAATAATAAAATATATAATGTATAATATAATCACTTTATAATACCTAAAATTCGTTATTTTTCAAGAGACAATTTATAGATTGTATCCATTTCAAAGCAAAACAAATACAATTAGAGACAAAACGCTACAAATAGAAATACCGCTACTCTATCAGTGTATTTTTATAGACTGACGACAGAACATAGCCTGTTTCCTATGAGTCACTGGTTCAAATCCAGCTCAGAGTCATAATGGAGAAGAGCTGATATCACTTTACTGCTGTTTGATGACCTATGTGAAATGATTTGATAGTTCAGTACATTTTTAATGAACTGATGCCAACATCACATAAACTATAATCATAAATGATACTAATTGAGTCTATTGTAGCACATTTCACCTTCATGCACAACTATCTCAGTACCATCATTTCTCTCTCGATAGGCTTTGAAATGTGCCTAGGTAAGTGCTATACAATATGCAAGCAAAATTTGAATATTGATATCCAAAATGTATTTCTCCTTGTATAGGAAAGGTCATGCTACCATTTTTATTTATTGTAGTGTTTCCTCTCTCATGTGAATTTACCCTTTAGGGAAAACCAATAATAAGTATTTTCCATTTTTTGTTTCAATACACCCTTAATTCATCAGTATCCTTTTGTGATAAACTAGGCATTAAGGACAATGACCAGACCGCCCATTATACATGACTGTCAAAGGTAGCTTTTAAAGTGGTTGGCCTACTAAAAAGTCCGTAGTTTTAGTGATTATAGTATCTTTGGCGTTTTCTCTGGAGGAATATCTCTTAGTTATAGCTCAAATGAGTAAAAAAGAAGTCAAAACACAAGAGAAAGACAATGGAACAGATAATTCTGCAATCTTTATAAAGCATTTCCGGAAGCCTCATGAACCATTATAAAGTATATGTTTCATAGACAGAAGAAAAAAGGAAAATTTGTATCTGTGATATTCTTCTAAACGTAGTTAATGTTGCTTCAATTACAATATTTTTTCCTTCCTAAGAAATGTGCAAATCTGCAATACCAGTTACACCTGAATCCAGGAGTTCTCACAGTATGGTCATTAGAACCAGCATTTATTGAGCACCTACTGGTACATAGCCTGGTACTATAATTACACTGAGAATAACAAGGAAAATATTTTCTTGAAAACTATTTCAAATACCACTTATTAGATTCCATCTGACATATACTAAACTATGATATTTCTTTACCACTTTATAAGTGAGCATAAGAAAAGATATAAATCTAGTGTAATTTATTTGCAATAAGACACTGTAAATTAGAGTAACATAATGTTTAAACTGCTGTGCCTTATGGAAATATTTCCTAATTAATTTGACTCAAAGATGTTTAAGTCTTAATTGGCAAAATTGTGCACAATTCATCAGTCTAATGGGAGGTGGGAGTGGTGATGCATATGGATTAAGAATTAGGACACGGATATTATGGTACGAAGCAAATCGATCAAGCAAATCAATCTTTAATTTATCATCATAATGACTGATGCAAGTAGATGAATGTTCAAAATATCACGGTAGGTATAAGGAGAGGATTTGAATAAATTGAAATGCAGAAAAATGAGGATCCATGAATTGTTAAGAAACAGGAGTTTCAGGTGTCGTCAAGGACTCAGTAGCGCTCATTCAGGTTTTGCTGAAGAGAACCAGGTGAGGAGCCAGAACCAGACGCGGCTGGGAGCTCTTGCTCAGCAGAGATTGGCCCCGGGCAAGGCTCTTTCTCTCTTTGAAGGAGTTCCTGCCTTTGTAAAATGGAGAAAATAGTGCCTTCACCAGAGGAGTGTTGTTAAGGCCCAAATAGATATAATAAGAAGTGTTCCTGCTATACAATACATGACACATAGTAGGTCCTCAATAAAAGGTAGCTATAATTCTTGAAATTTATAGCTACATATTCTCTTTTAACCTCTGGGGCTATCAATATTTAGCTAGTTTTAAAGATGTGATTCCTTCACCCCAGCAAGAAAGTATTGCTCTTTTGCCTGAACCCCCAAATCTTGGCATGGCCCACAATGTGTCTGTAGATAATGTCAGGTCAGAGCCTCTCTGAAGGGAAGCTGCTCTTGAGTGGGGTTGAGGAATGAAGAAAACCAACAGTTTACAATACATGATTCCTCCTTAGAGAAAGTGAAGGTTTTCTCTTTATCCTTTCAAGAAACTTAGAATTGTGTGTATATTCCAAGAGGGAAAGAGGGAGAGTTTTTTACTTACTGTCTCTGGGGATTTTGCTTTCAGATTATCCCCGTGGAAATATGCCCAATTTGGGTTATAAATACAGTCAAACCCTGCCTGACTGAACTGGGACAACACGTGTTATCATGAGATTACTTCAGACTTTCCAAAGCTGGGCACTTACATATTGTTTTCCTAAATCTATTTCTTATCCATTTCATTTTCTCCCACGGGAAATATTATTATTATTATTGGCTATGTCTGGTTGATGGTTTGAATGTCACATTTGTTTATCTGATTTATCACTGACAGGTTAGCTCCAGGTCCCTGGCTGCCCTGAGAAAGAATAAGATGGGAACAAATAACTACTGAGACTGCTTCATGTTATTTTATGTCAGGGCTGCTGATATGGATTCTGACCAGGCGAAGCTCTCATCAGAGACTCTGTACTCTATGCGAGCATAAAGGGCTGTGCATACACACATAGGTAGGTCCAGAATCCTGCAAGTTGGAAGGTGCCACTGGTTTGATCTGAGAAACATCACCAAGCACCTTGGCAACTTTTGTTTTATAGGTTAGTAGACAGGAAAGAAAGGGAAAATTCAAGATGCCCTGGGAAGATCCACATATTGGCTGCACCGGGCACTGTTCTTGAAAATTCACTGAAAGAATGAGTCACCTAAGAAATCCCAATCATTGCTTGAATGCTTCTCTTGTGTGTTTCTTACTGGTGTAGAATATTCATCCATGAATGACTCATATTCAAGCCTACAATCCCAGTCCCATTAACCGAGAGATATTCCCATGTGCAAAGTTTTGGTGATAAGGTTCATTGTGTCCTTGCATGAAATAGCAAAAAGGTAGAAAAGAGTGAAATGTCTAATAAGTGATTAATAAATTATGTAATATCATGTAATTGAATAATTCACAATACTTAAAATTATGCTAATGTTTATAGATATGTAAAATATTTATAATCTATTGTTAAGTACATAAATCATGATGGTAAAGATTTTACTTAGTTGAATTGCATTTTTGTTAAATGTGTTTTTGTTTGTGAATATAGATACACAAAGTGTTTAAAGTGGTATTATGGTCATGGAATCATAGTGTTTTAAAACTTTATTATTTTGACTACACTACAATTTCCATGCATTATCTTTGTAATATTAAAACATATCCTAATTTTTAAGTATTCCTCTTCATCACTTATAGCAAATTGGAACTTAATCCAAGAGAAGGGAAAAATCTGGTAGACAGTAGATGGGCTTTCTTGAGCTAAGGAATGCCCAACAATCTTCCTATTCCTCCTCTGCTGTTCTAAATTCTGTTCTTTACACTCTTTACGTAAGCTTTTTAATCAGTGAAATTAAAGATCCTTGCTTTCTCCTCAAATCACAAAATAACAACATGAGTCTAGCACTAAGCCAATTATTACAAGTCAAATAGACAAATTTACCAGTTGATGACTGACATTTAAAATAATTATTCTCGTGAAAATTATAAATTGATACTATGGAAGTAGAAAAAAGTGCTTTAGAATTGTTTAAAAATGATTTTATTTGTAGAGAATTTTTAAAATATCTTTTCAAGGAAATATTCCTAATTATGATTTAGTTCCTATAAGCACATTTAAGAAATAACACATCATCTATTTATCTAATCTCTAAATAGTGTACGCACACACACACACACAAACACACATCAGCCAGAAATTACTTATGACAAAGTAAGGGACAAAACTATATTAAAGTTCCAAATGTGGCCTTGTTTTCACTTTATCTCAGCATTAAATCCAATGAAGATAT